AAAATGGTGCAGACACCTGTTCATTAGAAAAAGTTTCTAAACATTGTTGAATTGTTTTAAAACGTGTTAATAGATTTTTGTCCTTAAACAATGTGATTTTATTTTTTTTATACAAACTTTCTAAATCCATTAACTGTAGATCATCAGAGTCTTCTCTGTCTAAAAGTTTTTGTTGTGACAATAATAATTGGTCTTAGGGCTCCCCCTGTGATGTATTCTTGTTAAAAGCATTTATGATCTGAGGAGATTTTGTACAGCGTTCCTGCTTTCTGTGTCACTGTGTCTGTCGAGCACAGTAATAAACAGCAGAATCTCCAGCTGTCAGACTGTTCATCTGAAGATAAACCAGCTTTCTACTGTTGTCTCTGGAGATGGTGAAACGGTTTCTGACTGAGTCAGAGTAGTAGATGTAGCTGCTGGTATCACTGATAGTAGCGACCCACTCCAGTCCTTTTCCAGCTGCCTGTCTGATCCAAGCATTCCAGTAGTGGCTACTGAACCCAGAATATGTGCAGGTCAGTCTGTGAGATTCTCCAGGTCTTTTAACCACTGGTTCAGACTCAGTCAGTGTTTGACCATCAGTACCTGCAGACAGACAAATTGTAGTATTATTTGTTGCTGATGAGGTTAATTTTATGAATTTTATTAATTCTTTTAGTTCTTACCTGCCCAGTTAACTGTCAGGATGACAAAAGCAATCAGAATCTGATGAGGTCTGATCATTGTAGCAGCCATGTGTCTCAGATTAGTCTGCTGTCAGTTTGATTCTTATTTGCTGCAGGTCTTTTACTCTTTCAGACATGTAAAGGAAAGTATTTGCATCAACTCCTCCTCCTGGAAAATAAATCTTGATTTTCTTCAAAAGATTGATTTCAGATTTCTTTTTTTTTATCTATTTTTTAGAATGTTAGTGACTCAAGTATAATGTTTTACTTTTATTCAAAGTTATACCTCTGAAGCCAAAAAATGACAAATTATATGAGTGTCTCTACAAACTATGTAAAGAAGCACTATGACAGAGAAGAATGTTTTAGAAACAATGATAATATAAAGTTGAGATGGCTAAAAAAACACAGAATTGAATCCTTCCTTACATTCTTTTCACAGTCAGGCACCTGTTGAGTTCAAACTAACAAACCAGCTGAGAAGATCTTGGTAAAAGTGAGTAAATAATATTTTCTTCTGTTAAACCACAAGTTCAACAGGAGTCTGGTAAAACAGGAAATGTTTTTTTTTTTATTTTAGAGCCCTCTGAATTTAAGCTTGTTTCTTCTATGGAATTTAGGTTTACTTTTACACAAAAAAACAACTCACTACTTTCGAACATTTTAATGGAATCGCTTCAGATCTAAATTTTTATTGGAAACATTTGTCATGCTCATCGTAGAAGTGAGGAAAACGCATCTTAAACTGAGACTCTTGGAAATTGATATGAGCTATTGCTTTGTATTAGAACCTTTGTTAGAATTATTTAAAAGACCTTTAAACAAAATGCTTTCTAGGGTTGATTCTGAACTTTTCTATAGTGAACCTGTGCAGTGCAAGGCTCCACTGAATTTACTTACAGTTAGTCCCAATGCAATATGTCCTAATCCTGAAGGCTACTCTATTGATACATAAAAGTTGGTTCATAGCTGCTTTGATTTCTTAGGAGATCTCACTTTATCAAGTTTCATTCAGTTCAATTTAATTATTTAATAACCCCACTAGTGGCAGTTTGTCAAAGCAGCATGTTTGCAATGGTATATAACACTAATGAGACATTATTCACAACATACAAGCAGTCGGTTTGTGAAAATTTCAAAACCCAAACAGAGCCCTACACAGATTTTAAAGGCTTGACCACAGAAAGGATGAAAGATTTAAAGTGGCGGTTCTTCATATACACGATTTGACTTCGAAACTATTTATTGGCTGCAGAAAACATTAAGGTCTCTCTGTTTCTCACTGATTATTTTAGAACAGACTTTTACAATCTTGGTCAGGCTATTTCTGTCTTTAACTATCAGATTGGAAAACAAACAGATAAAGAAAAAAACAACTTAAAAGACTCAATAAAAGATTGATCAAATTTAGACACGATAACGAGAAGAGAAGGAGTTTAGTTTGCAAAGAAGATACATTCCCTATTGCCCCAGATTCCCAATGGCAGCACTGTTTATATGAAACTTAAGATGTTTATTATAACCATGCCCAAGTTTTTATATGACAAAATAATTTCCACTTTTCTCTCAGATACCTTTAGGTTTTGTGTTGTTACATCAACATGTCTGAAGTCAGTCTTAGGAACTGGAGGATTTCCATAGACTTGGAATTACAGGTGGAATCTCCAGGAAAGTCAGGTTTTACTGTTCTTCCTGATGTTGACCCTATTCAGATGGTTCCTGACGCACTCTTGACCGATGGTGACATCATTTTGTGATTCTTTCAAACCTAAAATATTTTCTGAAAAGTCATGTTTTTCAAAACGGGTATAGAAATTCTTTAAAGCTTTTAGAGATATAAACAGAATTTATGTCATAAACTATTTGAGGTCACCTCTTGTCTCCGCTTCACTGAGTAACTGTGGGTGAGATCTCTAAGTCTCTCAGTCATGTAAAAGTAGAAGTAGCAATATTTGCATCAACTCCTTCCCCTGGAAAATACACAAGCTCCTCTTCATTTAGTGCAAAATTTCTACAAATTTTTTTCTTTTATTATTTTTTTTACCTGTTGATGCTTCAAGTATAATATTCTACTTTCATTCAAAGACATACGTTTAAGCAGAGGTGGCTACAAAGAAAAGATTTTACTTTTCTCCACTTTTTCTAGTTTTAGTGGTTTAATTCTCATCTTGTTGTGTTCTCTGATTATTTTTCAGTTTTCCGGTTTTTATTTGTTGCCCTCTGCTGCCCTCTTGTGTTCTCCTTTTCCCTAGCTCCTTTTCTGTTCTGCTCTGTTCACACCTGCTCCCAATCTGCTTGTTGGTCCTCTCTTTGTTTCAGTCTCCCTTAAATACGCTCCTTATGCAGTTCCTCAGTGCTGGGTCCTATTCTAACTTCCTCCAATTCCGTCTCACTGAGTCTACCTCGTCGTGATTGTTTTCCCCCAGATGTCTCCATGGTTTCTGGTTTGTTTGAGTTTGTTATCATGTTTGATTTTTGGATTCCTGCCTCAGCTGTCTCTTTACCTTCATTAAATCAACAAGAAACTCACCTCTGCCTCTGCATTTGATTCCACAAACCTCAACCCAATTTTTGGAAAAATCGGCCTCTACCAGCTGCTTTCCAGACTGATACATTGTATTTTCTGATCCAAGCTGTAGAATAACCATCACTATCCACAACACCTGATAATTAAATGCTGACCTGGCGGCACAGTCACACTAGATGTTGAATCTAATACCTAACTATTGACCTGTGCATAGAGACCTTAGTTCAAATCAAGTCGTCTCACCCATCCCAATTTCCTGTCAGTGTATGCTGTGATAAAAGCTAATAGAGGAAGAAAAATTCATATTCATGCCATTTTAAGCACTTTATTTCTGCTAATAACTAAAACATAAATGAGATCCAGGGGTTTGATAATATTCGGAGATCTCCTCTGTTTATCCAACTTCTCATGCTTTGCTCAAATGGTTTTCTCCATCTCCTGATGTCATGGTGATTTATTTTTTTAATTATTAGTTTATCTCTTACTCCACAGGACCCTAATGATCTTAAGAGATTAAATTGAAAAACAGATGAGAGCCAAATTTTTCCTTTGGGTAGACGTGGAGTTTTATTTTGTTTTATTATTTTATTGTAAAGGGTTAATTTATACAGATGCACAGTATATAATGTTTTTATCAAAAATATAGACTTAATATAGTAATTTTTTATCTTTAAAAATATATTTTAGGAATATATTTGAAGCACAATTAAATGGTCATGTAAATTAACGTCAGCAAAAAAAAACTTTTTTAAAAATGTCACAATAAGACATTTTTAAATGAAATACCGTAATTAAGTTATTGTGTATTACGTTCCATCTGCATAGAATCATGTATAGAGGCTCACACATTTATTTACACACTTCCTGATAGGATAATTATTCTTTGAAATGTTTACCTTGACTGGCCCTTTCTGGCATTATTCTAGACATTAAAATATGTCTGTTACTGCTAGAAACAGACTATCTAACTTGAATGTAATAAATCCATTTTGACCCAACAACCGTCATCTATCTTTTTTCAGAACGTAACTTGAAGGATACACTAGGATCTGTACAACTTAATAACAGCAAAGACAAAATTATCCAGAGAAGTGAATGAAAGAGTCATCAATAAGAGCTGCCAGCAGTTCCCTGCAGTGTTTTTTTTAGAGGATTTGTTGCACAGCGTGATGTTAGAGATGTCTCCATTTAGCTTCAGAGAAAAATAGATGAAAGGCAAATTTATTGCTGGTATTATTAAAAGATATTCTGTTCTCACATCTCAAAATAAAGAGTTCTGCTCATCCAGTCTGATACTGTGACAGAATCCAGATACTTTAACTTTGATATTGATGGTGATAAATTTGTAGAAATATTTTAACACTTGGAAAAGTCTCAAAATGAGTCACTGTAGCTTAAACTAAAATTGATGGCCCTGGAGCACCTCCTCTAGATGTTCAATGTACTATTAATCAATATCAATATTAATCAGTATCAATATAAAGCCTGTAAATTGTATTTTTAAAGGCTGTGGACAGGTACCCAGTCCAACATGGAAGATTTCATTTCCCAAATTCCTTTGAATGATTTAAGTATATGATGCAGTTAGAATCAGAATCTTTATCATATGGAAAAACAAAAATTAGATATACACATTCACATTAGCAGAGCACCTGTTGTGACCAAAGTTTGAACTGAGACACATTGTAGAGTTAGAGGCATGCAAAATTAGGCCTCCTGTCCATCACAGGGCATGACAAGAGATGTGTTATTCTAAATGTGTTTGTTTGCACACAGATAAGTAGTGTTAGGGCTCCCCCTGTGGTGTCTTCTTAAAACTATTGATGTACTGAGGAGTTTTTGTTCAGCGTTCCTGCTTTCTGTGTCACTGTGTCGGTCGAGCACAGTAATAAACAGCAGAATCTCCAGCTGTCAGACTGTTCATCTGCAGATAAACCTGATTTCTGCTGTTTTCTCTGGAGATGGTGAAACGGTTTCTGACTGAGTCAGAATAGTAGATGTACCGGTAGCTCCTGTCATAGTTGACATAAGCAATCCATTCCAGTCCTTTCCCAGCTGCCTGTCTGATCCAAGCTACAGCAGGAGTGCTACTAAACCCAGAATATGTGCAGGTCAGTCTGTGAGATTCTCCAGGTCTTTTAACCACTGGTTCAGACTCAGTCAGTGTTTGACCATCAGTACCTGCAGAAAGACAAATCATTGTGTTATGAACTAAAACTTTTATGTATTCATTATTGAATATGTTCATTTTATGCATCATTTGTTCTTACCTGTCCAGTTAACTGTCCCGAGGAGAAAAGCAATCAAAACCTGATGAGGTCTGATCATTGTAGCAGCCATGTGTTTCTGATGAATCTGAAATCTGTTTTTCTCTGATCTGTTGCAGGTCTTTAAGTCTCTCAGTCATGTAACAGAAGAAGCAGCAATGTTTGCATCAACTCCTCCCCCTGGAAAAGACACAGAACTCATCTGTATTTACTTGAAAAGTTTGATTGCACGTTTTTTTCTTATATTATTTATTAATATGTTGATGCTTCAGGTATGATATTCTATTTTCATTCAAAAGCATATATGTTTAAATCTTATAATTACCAATCAGAAGTCTCCACAAACTCTGTCTGTTCTATGGTCTGTAATCCTTTTTATTAATCCAGGATTATATTCTCACATAAAACGACTCAGACATCTCTTTAGTTAAAATGAACAACACCAGCTGAGGAACTCAGTAAATAATATTTCCTTCTGTTAAACCACATATTGAACAGGAGTCTGATAACAGGAAGTGGTCTCTTTGTTTTTTTGGAGACCTCTGAATTTAAGTTCGTAATGTTCTTCTTTGAAACCTTAGGCTTACTTTTACACAAAAAAAACTAATTACTTTCAGGAATGTAAAGGGAAAGTCTTCAGATCTAAATAAGGATTTTTTTTCTATTTACCATGCTCATTGTTAAAGTGAGGAAAACACATAAATAGACTTATTGAAACATTATTGATATGAGCTTTTGCTTTGTTGTAGAATCTATTTTTTTTTATTATTTACCAAATCAAACATCAAACTGTCTCAGGAGCCTTTCCTGTGGTGATTTTGTATTACATGTATGTTGCTTGTTTGTATCAGTGACATCTATGATCTTCCTTTAATTATGGATATTTCTTTTCTATTTATACTAAGAGAGAAACAGCTGACTTTGCAGTTAAGCCCAGAAATATTTTGCTTGTTAATGATGACAATCCTAATGAAAGGAAAACAATGAATGGTGAGGTAGAAGCTGAATCAAAATTCAAGAGTTGCTTAATGAGTAGAAAGAATCATGTCAGCAAAGAGCACATCAACAATGTGTGAATTTTAAGCAGAAGTTGCAAAAGATAGATTACACCTTTTTTTTAGTCTAATTTCTTGGAAAAAAAATCTTCTCTGAAACTTGTTCAAATCTAAATAACACAAATTTCCAAGCTCTTCAGAGAAGAGGGTAAGTGTGTAAAATAGGTTTGGAAATGTATGCTGATTTATGTTAAACAAAGACTGTCTACTATTTAAAATAATAAAATAACTCCTTAGCTCTAAATAATAAATATTTCTATAAATAAATAATAAGCGCACTGTAGAAGAGGGAAACTGCATCTAGAAACCTGAAAATTGATCAGAGCTGTTATTTTTGCTTATGTATACCAAATTGTATAATAGGATTATAAAGTTATATACCATCATATCAGTGTATTTTATTTTTGTAGTTCACGGAGTCAAAGATTAAACTGGTTGAGTAGCTCCTCATTGGTGTTTTTATGGTACCGGTGTTCTGTAAGGTTTTTGTACAGCTCTGCTGCTTGTTTGTATCACTGTGTGTCTCTGGCACAGTAATACACTGCAGAGTCTTCAGGCTGCAGATTCTGTCCATTTAAAGTCACTGTTCTGCTAGAAGTGTCTACATCAATGCTGAACTTGTTCTTCAGGGAATCTTTGTACTCTGTGGAATATCCACCACCTTTTCTACCAATCCACTCCAGTCCCTTAGCTGCAGGCTGTCTGATCCATGATGTAGAATAACCAGAACTATCCACAGCATAAGAGACCTGACATCTAATTGTTAGACTCTGGCCTGGCTGGACCTTTTTAGAGGCTGGTTGTGTAAGCTGTTGACACCTCACACCTAAAAAAAAACCAACAAGAAATAATAAATATCAGAGTACAAAAAGTGAAACCAGTGAACCTTCATGTTCTAAGTTAATAAGGAGGCTCACAGGATCCAGCAGCCAGCAGCAGCAGCAGAGCTACAGAGAACATGTTGGTGTTGAAGATGATCTGATGGGAGTTTCTCTTCCTCTGAAGCTGAATTCATGACAAGACGTCTAAAAAAGCTCTGCGTTAAATTTGCATAAAGACAAACCACCCATTAGATAATAATTATATGAAAATGCAGGATTATTTTTCCAGCAAACATATATTTACCCAGCTTTATGTTTCTGGTGAACAATCTAGAAAGTCTTAACAGAAGACGTTTTTGATCCGTTCTGATTATAAGTTAATTTGATTATAAGATAAGTTAAAGAAAGGAGGCCAGTTTTCTGTTACAGCAGCTACAATCTAGATTCAAGATCAGATTAAATATATATGTAGGCATGTTGAATTTTAACAATTATAGTTTAACATAAAGTAATTACATAAAATTGTGTAAAAACACCATCAACTTCTGCGCTGCTCTTTCGTTATATAAAGATAGACTGACCTTTCTCGTTAAATGCTCAGGCTTTATCAGAATTGTAGCTTCTACCTCCTGCTCCTATTCTGTTGTTGGATGATCAACAGTAAGAACACTGTCCAGGGAAGGAAAGGAAAGGAACTCCAGACTGTGGTGCTGTATGTCTTGTGCTGCAAAAGATTGTGGGTAACCGCATGGCTCTTAGCAGCTGATAGGAATGTTGAGGGTCTGTATGCTAAATAAATTAGCACTGAGAAGCAAACTGTCTCATGGTTCTTCCTCCTTCCTTACTGCCAGCAACATTTAAACAGCACTTATTATGACAGCCCATGCACTTCCATCATGGCTCAGGTGTCCTTTCTAATTTAAGGATATTCAGACTTAACCAAAGATGCAGTACGCCCCTCAAGCGAGAAGTGTGAAATAATAGAAAAGATTAATAAAGCAGAGGTTTGAAGGTAGAGTTGAAAAGCAAATAAAGTGAGAGAATTTGTATGATACCGAAATTGGCTGAAACTCCACATTCTCTAAATAACTCCTGATCTTACCAAAAAGGGACATATAGATGTTATTTAAATAGATCCATTTGTCCAAACATTGCATTAGATTAAATATTTTTATTTTAAACCAATCAGATTCATTTTTATATTATTTTTTATAATCAATACCTACTCCTCACAAAAATTTAATTTCATTTCAGGTCCTTTTCTGTAGAGGCATATAACATGACTATGTCATTTTAAGACTAAACACTACTGGAACATTGCTGGACATTGTAAATTGTTTATGGCTAGAAACAGGCAGTTTAACCTTATTCTAAGGTCGTAATTATCAACATTTTAAACAAATCTGTTTCCAATATGCAAAATAAAAATGGTTTATATCAAGCTTTATTCTTTTTTTTAACCCACATTCTAAGAAATTATCAACAATTTCCCCATTGTGGTACAATAAATGGATATTTTTTCTTCTATTTTTTTGTATTCCATTGTATTTTATTCTATTCAACCCTCAAAAATGTATATATATATATATATATATATATATATATATATATATATATATATATGTGTGTGTGTGTGTGTGTGTGTGTGTGTGTGTGTGTGTGTGTGTGTGTGTGTATGAGTGGGAGGGGTTTGTGTGACTTCAACATTCTAAACATTCTAAAACACTCCCTGTGATGTCATCCTTTAGAATTCTTTGTGTTTCAAAGGTAAACAAGAGTTCTCATTGCTTGCTACACCACTGACGTGTTCAGACGTATGCAAAGCGCTTTCCTGTTCGATATTCAAACCTTTCGAGATTAACCCAACCTTTAACAACCGTTTTTTGAGTAAAAATGCCGCATCAAAAGCAGCGTTACTCCAACGGTGGTAGGAGACATCAGCCGTATGGACGGGAAACTGGACAAGATTTGAGACGCTACATTAACAACAAGCAGCTTGATAATCATTCCCAGGAAGAAAAGCTAGATAACCAACCCAGCGCATTTCTCAAAAAAACTAGATTTGAGTTGGAAATGCAGAAAAAACAGCCACATGAATGTGACAATGGACAAGATTTGAGACGCCGCGTTAACAACAAGCAGCTTGATAATCATTCCCAGGAAGAAAACCTAGATAACCAACAACTCAGCTCTCTTCTCGAATTTGTGAAAGATAAATGGATTGAGGAGAACATAAAGGTAAACACCCTTAAGGAAGAGCTCAAAAAAACTAAATTTGAGTTGGAAATGCAGAAAAAACAGCAATTTGAATCTGACGATGGACAAGATTTGAGACACTGCATTAAGAAAAGGCAGCGTGATAATAATTCCCAGCATGAAATCCAAAGGCTCAGCTGTCTTTTGGAAAACGAAAAAGCTAAATGGGTTGAAGAGACCCAAAAGGTAGCCGCCCTGGAGGAAGAGCTCCAATATACAAAATCTGAGTTAGAAAGACAGAAAAATCTCAAAGACATGTTGATTAACAAGGGCAAAGAAACCAAGGGAAAACTGGTGAAAATTCAAAACTCTAATGACCCAGAAACTCTCAGCCCTGCGACCACCGCCTCCAAGGTTAACAATGAAACGAAATATAAGACTGAGTTGGAACAAATGAAGGTCGCTTACCAAGAACTAAAGTCCAGATATGAAACAGACATTTCTGCACTAAAGCAGAAAGCAGAAAAATGTCAACAGGAGAAGGACAAAAGAGCAAAGTCTGATCTGCAGCTCATTAATGAACTCAGAGCTGAGAAGAACAACCATCAGAAAAGGGCTCAAAACTTTGAATCCCTGCATCAAAAATCCACAGAGATGGTGAAAAACCTGCAAGGTGAACTGGAGAAGGTTCAAGTTTCGTTCCAGGAACTGAAAAATAAGTATGATACCAACGTCTTTGCTCTAAAACGGCAAAAAGACACATTCGAACAGCAGCTTGATAAAGAGACAGAAATGAGGAACAGCCTTAGAGCTGAGAAGGACGCTCTCCAACAGCAAGTCAATTCCCTTCAACAATTGGACTCTCGGTGTGAGGGCAGTTATAAAAGACAGCTGGAGTATCTGACAGCTGAGCTCGAAGACAGAGATGACCTTGGTCCTCCAAAACGAAAAATGGCCAGGCGCCAAGAAGCAAGATCCCAAAAAGACTCCATCCCTGCGAAAACCACTTCAGACCCTGCGTCCATGGATCTTGACGACCTGTCAAAAGAAATTCAACTTACTGATGTAACCCAGATGGAGCTAGATGAGTTTGTGGAGGAGATGCTGAGAGAGGCAGATATTCTGGAAGAGGAAGCCCGCTCTTAGGAGACCCTGCCAGAGCATAGGGACAGTCCAGATCCTGAACCAACAGAAAAAGGAAGCTGGAAAAAAAAAACAAAAAACTGATTAAATTATACACATAAGAGGGGGCGCTAGTGAGTACCGGATGGAGTAGACGCGTTTTCCCTGCGCTCCTCTCCATCTTACAGAATAACTCGGTATTTAATTCAAAATCCACCAGTTTACCTGACCTATTGCTGATTTAACCTTAAACTAAAATCGAGGAGATGGGAAAAACAAAGACTGAACGTGGAAAAGAGCAGGATAGGAGCCTTGCTGAGACTAGAACTCCTGCATCGCCGGGGTTACTGCTAGCATCAGAACATGCCATGGCAGGCCCCGAGGCTAGCAAGGACGCTAAAGCGGAGTCAAGCAGCATTCTTCTGGCAATAGAAAGTATGAACAAGATGATGACTGATCGATTTGACTCATTAGAAGCAACACTAGCTTCTACTCAAGCATCTCTGGTGAGCCTTGGAAATCGTATGGCAGAAATTGAAGAAGCTAACTCCAACCACGACCACCGCCTCTCACAACTTGAACAAGTCTGTGTGAAAATGCGGGCGGAAAACCAAGCACTCTGTTCAAAAGTAATTGACCTGGAGGCTCGCTCTAGGCGTCAGAATATAAAAATTGTAGGCCTGCCCGAAAAGATCGAGAAAAGAAGCCCTGCTGAATTTCTGGAGAAGTTTATACCTGAACTGCTAGGCGCTAGCAATTTTCCCAGCCCTGTTGTTGTGGATTAAGCACACCGCCTAGGGAAATTATCCTCGGGGGAAAAAGTACGACCGCGTGTGATGATAGCCCGGATTCATCACCTTCAAATCAAGGAGAAAATACTGCAGCTTGCTCGTCAACAATTCCCCCTGAAATACAACGAGGTGGCCATCTATTTTTTCCCCGATCTGCCAGAAAAAAAGACATTCTGTCTGCTCAGGTGCAGGACCAACTGTTCAGACTGAAACAAAAACAATTTGAATTAGGAGACAAGCCCCAGAAGCTATTGGCTTGCCAACTGAGAGGTTTGCAGGCTAGCAGAGCTATACATAAAATCAAATCAAAATCTGGGGACATTATCACAGACCCCAACAGTATAAACAAGTGTTTCAGGGAATATTACCAACAGTTATATACATCTAAAGCTGGGGGGGATGCCTCTGCGTGGCTGGAGAATCTGAATCTCCCTAAGCTGGGTGACGCAGCACGTGAGGCATTTGGAGGCTAAAAGGCATAGTAGCTCTGAAAGATCTGTACATTGACAAGCACTTTGCCTCATTTGCTCAACTAAAAGAAAAGTTTTCTCTTTTGACAATACATTTTTTTAGATACCTTCAAGCTAGAAACTACGCCCGCCAAAACCTGCCTAACTTTGAGTCCCTCCCAGAAGAAAGCAGGGTTTATAGTCTTTTGCTTGGCCCACCAGATTCAAAACACTTGATCTCAAATCTTGTCAAAGTATTTTCTGAACAGCTGAACTGCGCCACCCACTCTATGAGGAAAGCTTGGGAAGGGGAACTGGGTCTCCAGATTAACCATACTGTCTGGGAGGAGAGTCTAAGTAGGATTCAAACCTGTTCTGTTAATGCCAGACATCACTTAATCCAGTTTAAGGTCATGCACAGACTTCATTACTCAAAAACTAAATTGCATAGAATTTACCCTACTGTCTCACCTTTATGTGATCGATGTAAATTAGCTGATGGTTCCTTAACCCACCTTTTTTGGACTTGTCCGAAACTGTATGCTTTCTGGTGTGGAGTATTCCATTGGTTTTCTGAAATGTATGGTTGTGTGTTCAAGCCCGAGCCAGAGATGGCACTGTTTGGATATTCCCTGTCTCTACTGTCTCATAGTCCTCTTGGACAGCATACTATTATGTACGGAATGTTAATTGCAAAGAGATTGATTCTAAAGCTTTGGAAATCAGAAGCAGTGCCACTCTTCAAGACGTGGCTAACAGATCTTACCTCTGTATTGCACATGGAGAAAATCCGATATGCCATGATGGACAATCTTAAAAAATTCTATAAGACTAGGCAACCATTTTTGGACCATCTTGTTCAATTTGATGGAGACCTTGAACAATTGAGCCATTCACCTCTTTTTTTGATAAAGTCTGTTTTGATTTAAAGTATCAGTGATGCAACAGTACATATCATCATCTTGAATAATACGCCCTGTATCTCCGTTATTTTGTTTTATGTCTGTTTATTTATTTGTTTGCTCTTTTCTTTTCTTTTTTCTTCTTTATTTTTTATTTATTACATAGACATGTGTTATTCCTAATTTATATTACATTGTACCAAACTACTTGGAAAACTT